ATATAAATGCATACATAAACATTTCTGCATACACGCATACATATATATGTGAAATAGACCATATATATAACAAACCAAACAACTGTTTGCTGGTTGTATCCAGCCATTTTGTGATCTCTTCCTTTTTGCAACCTCTTAAATGACAAATTCTACCAAGAATCTTCCCTTTCATGGTTTCCTTTTGTTCTGAGAATTCATCACACTTGATTTTAAGTTAGAAGTTACTTCTAAAATACGTTGATCATACAGCCTTTGTTTAAAAAACACATTAGTGGTTATTGTCATTAGTTTAGAAAATGAGTACACTTGACCCTCCAACAACAAGGGTTTGAACTGCACATGTCCACTTACACATGGAATTGTTTCAATAAATACAGTACAGCACTATAAATGTATTTTCTCTTCTTTATGACCTTCTTAATATTTCTTTTCTGTAACTTACTTTACTGTAATGTAGTACATAATGTACATAACATACAAAATATGTGTTAATCAACTATGTTATTGGTAAGGCTTCTAGTCAACAGTGGGTTATTAGGTACTTAAGTTTTGGGGGCACCAGAAGTTCTAAAACCTGCATTGTTTAAAGGTCAACTGTATATGTTTCAGACCCTTTGTTAGTTTCTGGGATAGTAAACCAATGATACTGTCTCTGTCCTGGAGAAGTTTATTGTGTATTGGGGAGGGTTGGAGGTTTCAAAGGTTGAGCTCCTTGGAAAGTAGACTCTGAATTAGAGAGAGTGTTGCATGAGTTTTGTTACAGAGTGCTTTGGGATCACCACCTTGGGAGAGAAGAGGAATGGGCTGAGGGAGAAATTGAGTTGTGATACTATCTTAATGAAGGCCTCAGCCAATCCTGTGGAGAATGTGAAGCTGGGAACACCCTTTAGAATTAGATTAAGTTGGGGTGAAGGGCCCTGATTTTGCATATGGACTACCCTAGGAAGAGGATATGACACTGAGTAAGGCAGCTCTTACAGTGGAGGCAGTTCTGAAGAGGATCAACAGCTGAGTGTTATCTTTTGGTAGTACTGCTCAGCAGCTGGGACTACAAATCCCAGGTATTTGGTATTATCACAGTGTCCACCATGAAGAGTCAGAGTCAAGATTAATACTTATAAACGAATCATGTGTTGTGTAAGCTCGGAGGAATGACTGACTAATTGCTAGAAGGAGCTATGAAAGCTTATGGAAGGGATGATGCTTGAGCTAGGTTTTTTGTTTTTTAAGATTTTATTTGAGAGAGAAAGCACATGTGCACACATGAGCAGTGGAAGGAGCAGAGGGAGAGGGAGAGAATCTCAAGCAGACTCCACGCTGAGTGTGGAACCTGAGGCAGTGCTCAATCTCAAGACCCTGAGATTAGGACCTGAACCAAAACCAAGGGGGCTGTCAACTGACTGAGCCATCCAGGCACCCACTGAGCTAGGTTTTAAAGAATGAATTAGTAGGTTTAGAAGGGGAAAGTCTAGTGAATGGGACATTTTTCATTGAGTCACTGACATTTCATAGCATAGTCAAGAAAATGATTTGTTTGAAGGACAAAAGGTTAACTGTATTAGCCATTCTTTAATTTCTAGCAATTATGATAAAAATCATGAGGCTGTTTCCAAAATCCTAGTTTATTTCCATGGTGATAATTTTTTTTTTAAACACTTAAATCCCAGTATGCTCAGGCTTAAGACTAAGCCAAGCTCATCATGGCCAGATCCCCGAAAAGATAGGCTGAGCTTGAGTGAGAAGCTTTTTTTCTAGGAGTCCAAATTGGATTTGGTCCCTGCGTTGTCCCTTGTTCTTGGGTCTGGAACAGATGAAATGAATTTCCTTAATACTAAACATGTTCTTGTTTGTTGCTTAGTATGTTCCCTCCTAGGATTGAGGGTGTCCATGGGAAGTCAGAAGATAGATTAAACTGGGGCTCTACCACTTATTACTTCTTTGACCTTGGGAAACTCGGTAACACTTGATCCTGTTTTCTCATCCTTAAAATACAGTGATGCATAATATCATCATTTTAGGATTGTGGGATAATGTATAAGAGCTTATAAACAGGTGTTTCCTAGGATATTTTATTACTACTTAAAATCCCTTTGTGAAATATGTGTGATGTTAAGTTTTTATGTTAGGATAAGATTTTTAAATTTTTTACATTTTTATGTTTCTTAAGATTTTATTTGAGAGAGAAAGAGAGAGCACGAGCAGGGGAGGAGCATAGGGAGAGGGACAAGCAGACTCTGATGAGCACGGAGCCCGATGGGGGGCTTGATCTCATGACCCTGAGATCATGACCTGAGCCAAAATCAAGAGTCAGATACTTAACTGACTGAGCCACCCAGGCACTCCAGGATAAGATTTAAAAAAAAAAAAAAGATTATTTATGTATCTTAGTGTGCACCCCAGAGAGAACAGGGGGAGGGGCAGAGGGAGAGAGGGAATTTCAAGCTAACTTCCCGCTAACTGGGGAGCCCAGCGTGGGGCTCCATCTCACGACCCATGAGATCATTACCTGAGCCGAGATCAGTAGTTGGACGCTCAATTGACTGAGCCACCCAAGCGCCCCTGTTAGGATAAGAATATTAAAAAGCAAATTTTGATTGTTAGGAGCTATGGATTTGGTCTGTAGAACCTAGTGCCCAAATTAACTCTAAAATCTTCAATATAAGGATGACTGTCACAGAGAAAAAACTATTACTTAGCTTCTGAATTCTGATACATCTGCTGTATAGATGTCAGATGTACATGAACAGATTGCTGATTGTGGGGATGAATAAGAAAATAGATGGCAAATTTAGTGTAATAACTATTACTCCTCAGTTTTTGCTGTGCTGATGATGGGTCAAAAAATGTAGTCAACAGAGAGTGAAGTGGATGTGATGGGGCTGTGACTCAAGACAGCAGTATGAGAGAGATTGCAGTCAAAATGAAATGGTCTAGACATCTAACCCCTAGCACAACTGTCATTCCAAATGAACTGTTGAAAAACAAATACATAGATAGAGCCACAAAGGTCTAGACTTCTGTTAAGTACTTCCAAGAATATTTTCCCTGGAAAGGAGAGTCACCAGTTAATAGGGTAAAGGCTCAATCTGTACACTTTGTGACACCTGTTAAATTGAGAAGGCAGGAAACTTCAAGCAGATCTCATTACTAAAAGAGAAATGATGTTTATGTGAAATATAGCCTCTGGTTCCAAGAGAATGCATTAGAGTCACTTGAAGAGCCTTTCAAAATACAAATGTCTACATCCCAACCCTGGACATTTTGGTCCTCATTTCTAGAATGGGGCCTGGGGGGTTTTATTTTTGAAAAGCTTGCTGGCTAATTCTGATATGGCTCTCTTGAACCACTGGTTTCAGTGAGCTTTGTTTAATTGGAATTATTAAATTCCCAGATGTTGGGATAAAGAACTAAGTGTTGGAATTTTTTTCCTGGGGGGAGTTTAGGGGACAGAATGTTGATTTTTGTAAAACCATTAGGTATTTAGGGACGGCTTCATCTTTTCCAATGTTGCACAAAATGTTTTGGTTATTAGAATAACTGGAAGTACTGAAGGAACACTAGAACGTTGTGGGGAGCACCTCTAAGTGTTTGATTCTATTATATGAATGAGGTATGATTTTACTAGAAGAAAAAACTGTTCCATCAATGTGTATATAATAGAAAAATCATCCTGTCACAAAATCCAGATAAGTATGATTGGCTATTTTCTGAGATTTTTATCTATTTATTTATTTATTTTTAAGATTTTATTTATTTGACACAGAGAGACACACAGGGAGAGGCAACACAAGCAGGGGGAGTGGGAGAGGGAGAAGCAGGCTTCCCGCTGAGCAGAGAGCCCGATGTGGGGCTTGGTCCCAGGACCCCGGGATCATGACCTGAGCCAAAGGCAGACGCTCAACGACTGAGCCACCCAGGCGCCCCCTGAGATTTTTATTAAAAGTACATAGTTTACTCAGTGGTCTGCTAGCTAAGTGGTAGCAGATACCTTAAGTTTAAGGAAAATTTATCAGAGGGACAGTGTTTACTTTTGAATAGATTAACTTTTTTTTATGCAAATCTGGGGAGGGGCGGAAACCAAACTTTTGTACTTGTTGGAACACTTTGGTCCAACTCATTAAGTGCCTGGTTTAGATACTGGAGAGGAATCATTCATATGAGGTGGGGGATTTTCACCAAAGATTTTCTGTAATGTTCCCAGACAAAGATAGGTAAGTAGGGGACCATAAAGAATGGTCTTAAGAAGTAATCTCAAAGAGAATGTCAGGGCACCAGAATCTCAGATCTGGAGATGGTAGGAGGGACGTGCATAGTTTAAAGAACACTTAATATTACAACATTTTATATACCCCCCCAAATAGGGCAGAAAAAGTTTTTATAATGCAAAATACAGAAAATAAAGCCTGACAAAAATTTTAACTTCTCAGGTGGTTGTGATAACAGAATATCATTGTAATTTTTTTTTAAAGATTTTTTAAATTTATTTATTTGACAGAGAGAGACACAGCGAGACAGGGAACACAAGCAGGGGGAGTGGGACAGGGAGAAGCAGGCTCCCTGCTGAGCAGGGAGCCCGATGCGGGGCTCCATCCCAGGACCCTGGGACCATGACCCGACCCGAAGGCAGACACTCACTGCCTGAGCCACCCAGGCGCCCTTTCATTGTAATTTTTAATGGGTATTGTGGATAACCTCCTAGATCTGGCATAGTGGACCCAAAATCTTCATTAAAAGGGAACTTAAAAAAACAAAACAAAACATTGTTTTAAATAGGGGATGATAGTTGGTGGGATATGAAGTTTAACCTTAAATTATGGTACTAATAATTCAGCTCAATTTTAGAAGGTCTTTTATTATATAGAGTTTTAGGATATTGAATGAGAGTGAACATTATGCTATAGTTTGGATGGGACTAAACTTGTACAGTGACATTTTTTGAAAGAATTACATTGTATTCTGTGGTCCTTAAAAAGGTGATAATTTTTTCTTCTTTCAGCTTGCTGAAGCAAAGACTCATTTTGAAGATGTTTAATAAGTCATTTGGAACACCCTTTGGGGGTGGCACTGGTGGCTTTGGCACAACTTCAACATTTGGGCAGAGTAAGTTTTACAAAAGAACAAAAGAAGGGGAAAAACTTAAGCTATTCTTATTAAGAACAAATCCAATCTGATGGCTGAAATAAAAAACCCAAATACAAGTGCTGGTGAGGATGTGGAGAAAAAGGAACTTCCTTTCCCACTGTTGGTGGAAATGTACAGCCACTGTGGAAAACAGTGTGGAGGTTCCTCAGAAATTAAAAAATAGAATTAGCGTACAATCCAGTAATTCCACTACTGCTTATTTACCCAAAGAAAACCAAAATGCTAATTCAAAAAGATATATGCACCCCTATGTTTATTGCAGCATTATTTGCAAGAGCCAAGATATAGGAACAACCCGAGTGTCCATAGACTGATGAATGGATAAAGATGTGGTATATATACAATGGAATATTACTCATAAAGAGTGAGATCTTGTCATTTGTAGCAACATGGTTGAACCTAGAGGGTATAGTGCTAAGTGAAATAAGTCAGAGAAAGACAAATACCATGATTCCACTCATACGTGGAAATTAAGAAACAAAACAGATGGAGAAAAAAGAGACCAAAAAACACTCTTAAATACAGATTCTGAAACTGATGTAACACTGTGTGTTAATTATACTTGAATAAATAAATTAAAAAAAAAACATCACTCTGATAGCTTCAGATAGGAATTTTATTCATATTTTGGTCTTATAACAAATTCTCTTTGATCAATGACCGGATAAGATCTTGTTAGAATTTTCTAAGAAAATAGAAATAAGTTTGGAGTTTTCATGGTTTTTTGATCATTTGTAGAAGGTATTTGAAATACGTTTTTATTTTTTTAGAGAGAGCATACACATGAGCCCGGGGGGTGGGGGGAGAGGGGCAGAGAGAGAAAAAAAAATTTTTTAAGATTTTATTTGAGAGAGAGAGAGGGCACAAGATGCGGGGGTGGGGGCAGAGGGAGAGGGAGAAGTAGATTCCCTGCTGAGCAGGGAGTCCGACAAGGGGCTCGATCCCAGGACCCTGAGATCATGACCTGAGCCGAAGGCAGGCACTTAACAGCCTGAGCCACCCAGGCGCCCCTTCCTTTTGTTGTTGTTGTTGTTGTTGAACATATTTCCTGTCATAGAACTATGGAATTAGAATCTTGGTTGGAACCTGAACATGTGTATTCTGAAAAACCTTCCCAGGTCATTCTGATGTGCTCCCCTAAAGAAGGATCATTCATCCCAGTGACTCTGGAATGTATGATGCCTAGAGAGAATTTAACACTTTAATTTTGATGACTTGACTTTTGTCTGTAGCTCACAATCATTAGTTACCTTGGTACTCTTTTTTAACCTGTCGACATCTATAACTTTATTGAAAAGTCACACCTCTTCACTTTGTTTTTTTCTCCTGGGACAATGAATAGAATGTCTGGCTTAATTTTAACTCTGTAATTTGTAGTCTGATGGAACTTTGAAAAAATTATTTTCAGATTAGACCAGTGATCCTATTCAAACACAAAATGTTAAGAAATATTAAAATCCTTTTCATTAGGTCACCTGATTTAGATTTTATTTTGACCCTGGATTTTGCTTTTTCAGACACTGGCTTTGGCACTACTAGTGGAGGAGCATTTGGAACATCTGCATTTGGTTCTAGCAACAATACTGGAGGCCTGTTTGGAAATTCACAGACCAAACCAGGTAGGGGTTTTACTTGGAATACAGTTGGTTTATTTATAGCTGGTATAGGACTTCATTTAGTGGTTCCAATCCATCTATTTAACTGTTTTTTTCCTCTCCATCTATCCAGGAGGATTATTTGGTACTAATTCATTTAGTCAGCCAGCTACTTCCACAAGCACTGGCTTTGGGTTTGGCACATCAACAGGAACATCAAATAGCTTGTTTGGAACTGCAAGTACAGGGACCAGTCTCTTCTCATCCCAAAACAATGCCTTTGCGCAAAATAAACCAACTGGCTTTGGAAGTAAGTAGGACATCATTGGACTTTTGCGTCTAATAGTTTGGTTTGCTTATTGAATGTACTCCCTCTTTTTCTTTTCTTTTTTTTTTTTTTTAAAGATTT